CGCAATCCTCGACCCAGTCCCAGTCCCAATCACTTGGCTGCTCCTGTCACTGCGCAGTTGGGAATATCAACGGGCTTGCCCGCAGCAATTACAGGGATGGGAGTATCCGGAACTTCTGGTATTTCCTGTTGTGGCCTTTAAGAGATGTCGTTGAAACCAAGCTGTTTGTATCATGTTCGGATTTTGTTGATTTAATTTCGCTCAGAAGTTGCATTTAATTGCTAAATGCCAATTTAAATGCATTTGAGTATAATTTATTTGAACCCAACCTCAATATAAATGAACGGCAATTTCCCGTAATAAGTGTATGTATTTAATGCGCTTTAATGACTTCAGATGGGATTTCTTAGTGCTACTTATTCCAGTAATTCAAAATTCTTTGAACAGACACCATAATTAAATTTGTGAAGTTAATTTATTTGTATATTTGAATTCCATTCTAAGATTTAAATGCATATTAGCGTATGAGAATGTTTTTGGTTGTTGTGACATACTTGCCCGCTCTATGTTTTTATTTTCGGATTTTTACATAGTTTTCTGAAAACTGTCCTTAACAAATGTTCTACAGCTTCAATACTAAACAAGGACATCCAGTTTTATTTTGTCCAGCCGACCGCTTGTCCGCCTGTCTAGAGGGTGGAGCGTGGTTTTATGAACGGCTGCGCTAGTCTTTAAGCAACACTAGTTTTTTTTCTCCCCCCTCCTTTCCTCCATTGCAGAACTTCGTCAATACTGCCCATAATTCAAAAGCGACATTAACTAAGCTTTGCATACCTTTTTCGATGGAGTTGTCTACCTCTATTTAACAAAATGCCAAAACTACACCAGCTTCGTGTGTCTTTTGATATGCTCGATGATAACAACGCATATAACACAGCGGGGGAAGTACGTTCTGAGTTCAGGCTATAACACTGTAACATTCTTCTTGTAAAATACATTTTGTTGTAACAATTTTTCCTATGATAGCCAATTTTTATGCTTAAGCTGAGTGAGCTGAGGCACCATAAGAAAATAATGTATTAAATCCTCTTTGTTCTTGTTACAATTGGTGGTCCTTGACAAAGGATAAAGGGATGAACTTTTCATTCGATTTTAGTATCATATTTGGCGAGCCTTTGGTTTGTTGTTTTTTAACAAGTAAAGTGATCTCTTATGTATTTAAACTAACAGTTGTTCCTTTAAATATAAAAGTGGTTCAGAAGCCAAAAAGCATATAAAGTGTCTAAATTATTTTTAAAATGTATAAGTAGGACGTATATGTATACACCTAATTCTGTTTTTACGCGGTCTTTTTTTACAAAATTTTGATATAACACGGTTTGAAAATTAAAAATTGCATATATACTTGTATTTCTTTAGAGATAAGGAACCAATCACCTATTTCTGCATATGATCAATGTCTTTTTTTACACGGTTGTTTCTGTAACAACAGAATTATGTGTACTTCTTTTCAAAAGGTATCCCCAAGGATGCCCTAAACTAGAAGACGTTGCAACTCAATTTAAACATCACAATTTTCAACAAAACAAATCAAAAGGAGTCACGAAAAAGCCATTATTTCTATCAATAAAAGTCTTAACACTTGCTTTAACATTGTTAACATTTTGTTCATCTTCTCCGTCACAAGTGTAACAATTACAACAATGTATTTTATATCAAATAAACTTCGTACAAAATTGCTTTTGGGGGACATCAGAATGCTAACAAAACTATTTTGGCATTCAGTTGTAGTATGAATGAAATGTTTTATTCCTGTACAAAATGGTAATACAAAACTTTTGTTATATCAAAATAGTTGCTGTTACAAACGCGCGCGCACACACACACACACAAACATTATACCTGCAAGTATGCATCAGTGATGCTGTTGTGCTAGCAGTTACATCCCAGGTTGCAGTTACAGCAGTTGTAGTTGTTAAATATTTAAAATCATTTGCATGACCAACTTGCCCCCGGACGCATTTTGACACAAACACCTCGATCCATACGAAAACGTACACAAATACAAATGTAAATACACTTGTTTTCGTTTTTAATAAAAGTCCTGGAACTTTTGAATTGCACCTTGTAAATATTAATTTTAATATATATTCGACCTGTAATTGGAAAATCATACAAGTAATACCTATTAGTATAATAACATGAAATACTAGTCCATCCAGAAAGCCTACATTTTTAAGTGTATAAAATGTTTGTTTTCCCCGTTTTTTGTAGACATAAATACATAATACTATAAATGTACATTTAATGCTGATATAATTTTGTGTAGTCTTTTAAATAATATGTAAATATTTCCTTGCACTTGCCAATAGCATCACTTTGCACAACTGGTATTTTCGTTAGTTGAAATCATTTATATTTATCATTTATAGAAATTATTCTACAGCTAAATTTGGCTGTCTCCTCATGCTCTTATGCGATAAATTTAACGCGTTAACGTTTGCTTATTTTTTGGGGTGATGAGAAAGTGCTTACAACTAGTCTAACTATGGGGTATTTACACATGACTGCACATAGTACGAGTATTTGTGTACACGCATACACATAAGTGTGGGTTCAGCACTTTGAGCGTTTCGTACTCTCCTGATTTGTGTGAAATTTATGTGGGAATCGAGGATTCTGCATGCGCAGCATAAGCATTACATAAATATGCCAAAAGTGACATGTAATACAATTTATATGCATAAGCAGCAGAAAGTGTTGTTGCCACTAAGTAGTCCCTAGTCGTAGTAGGGCTTTAATTAAATGCACCGACATGTAAATGTTTACGCCAATGGTGGACAGGAGACTAACGAAAATTGACGCTCGATGAAAGTAAAATAAACAAATAAGTGTATCCACAAATGCTAATGGAAGGTTCACATAATCTTGGGCTTCAGCTTGATCTTTCAAGCTGGCGACGGGCAACGATAACATTTACGGTAAAGTAAGCAATTTGCCTAGACAACACAACGCGGTTAACCTGAAGGCACGTGTCGGTTGTCAGTTAACATTAGAAGCACACACGCACACACACGCAAATACCCTCACACATGCATACACCTTGGCACTCAAGAAAACCTGCATGTGCTGCTGTCTTACCTTGATTACATTGATGCATTTCTACATCATTAAACCGCCTAAACATCATTAGAGCAGTCGGCTGGGTGTGTGGCAGCGTGCCACAAGCCTCTCATAAGTATATATGTACATATATGTATGTATGTGTGTATATAAATACATGTTGTATGTCTGTTCGGTTGCTCCAAATTTAAGGTATTCAGCACAGCATTTATCATATATATATACTTATATAAATGTATGTGTGTGTGTGTGTGTGTGTGTGTGTGGGCACGCTTTCACTTGAGCGCACAAATTCACAAGCAAACAAACAAGTGCTGCACAGCCTGAACGAAAAGTCAACTCATTTGCCGCCTAATGGCAAATCAATGTGCTGCAAATGTGACCAACAGGCTCACACGGAGCTGCTTGTGGTCTGCTCCCAACTGGTGCCTGTCAGGACTTCATTTATGCGCAGGCTGTTTGATAAATAAGTTTTTATCGTGATTGGAATAAGAATCAGATCTGCCTCAAACTCACGAATTTAAAAACATGAGTTACACTTTAGGTATGTTTGTTCGTTACTTTTTTTAACTAAATGAGTTCATCCATTTGTCATTATTTATACAGTTCTATATATATATGTACATATACATATAAAGGTCTTGCAGGGATAGTAGTAACAGATGAAAAAAAAAAAAACAAAATTAAACATTTGAATTTCAAAGACAATTCACATGTACTATTTCAGTATATTTTCAAAGCAATAACCTAGAAATGTTAGGATATTTTGTTTTTGGTGTGAGTTTGAAGAATTATAGACTATACTATAGTAAGTATGTTAGGGGGTTATATATGATCAAATGTATTGAAATTTGAAATAACAGATAATAGAAATAATAATAATATATGCTAGATACTAAATTAATTATTTTCATAGGTCTCCTGTTCTAGCAACAATAATTTCAAATATTATTCTTGTTAAAAAAAAGTTTTCTTTATTTCGCTTTTGTAAAAAATATGTCCTCACTTTTTTTTTATTTCCACACTATATTAAGAAGTTAAAAATCTATGCGTATAGCTTTTAAAACTTGTAAATCATTTCATTTGTACACTATTCATGTTTTTTACAACAATGTGTAAGTTTAAGGATGGACGCGACCGAATTTAGCGTTCCGTATTTTTTCCCCTGCATCCTAGACAAAAATTTAGTATTCGTAAAACACCAGTATATGTAGGTATATACTTTTCCAAATTTTGTTCATCAAATTCTTTCTTATGGTAAACATTTATCAAACTGCCCTAGCTTCTAGCTATTTATAAATGTGTACAAATGTGTTGAGGACGACACTTGAATAATTTCTGTGTGTTTTAGCTTTTGTCAGTTCCTGTGGCTTTTCGGTGAGTCTTACGCTAAATTGCACATATTATTTATACATAAAGAATCAACTGACCATAAGTTATGTATATTAGTTAATCGCCAATGTTGTTATTGTGTTGCTTTACGATCTTGACGAGCGAGTCCATTATTTATCTGATTCACTCGCTATTTACTAACTTGGACACAAGCAAGCTTTTCTTTTGATATTTTTTACTGACCCCCACCCATCAGCACGACTACACCCCTCAGCAGAAATCCAGCACAAATAGCGTTAACGAAATCTTCCTTACATCTACCCATAAAGTTTTACGAGCTTTGCTGCATGGGGCACTTCACAGCACTTGGCATCTTGATGAAACTTTATGCGCTAACTACCGACCATTAGAATGGTGACACAATTTAACCCTCTGGCATTGGCGCGTGCATTAAATTCAAATTACACAGCAACTTGACTGGTGTTAATGGCCAAGTTAATGCATTTTGCATTCGGCCCAAGTTTGCTGTGCTTTATGGACGCAGGCGCACTTCAATCAAATGGTGCACAACAAATGATACCACTGGCAAGCCTTTCCATTACACATACATTTTTTGCATACATATATTTAGATTATAAAACGCCTTTGTACATGAAATTACTGTGTATATGTGTTGGAGATGTTCCTTGTTGATGAGATGACAGGACATACTTATGTTTTTGTGGCTTTGTTTATGTGTGTCACATGAGTTTTAGGCTTATGCTTATGATGATAAATATAAATTCATTATATAGTATGTTTAAGATAGAAGATAGCCACAGTTACATCAGTTTTATGAGCGTGTCAGGCATCATCTGGCAATTTGTAAGCTCGTTATTGTTTTAAATTGCAACACTGCCATGAACATGGCATGCCTTGTCAGCCTAATGAGTTTTTGAAAAGCCTCCTGCCTCACTCTTTAAACTACTTAATATTATTATTAGTTATATCAATTGTTATAATACATATGTATACATTTTTATAAATAAAAACAACTTCACAGACAACTTGAACTTAACTCAATGGTTTTGCTTGTCAAGCGCTTCAATGCCCTGCATAAATCACCCATGAACATATTCGAGCAAAAGCCTTACCAGTCTATTTGCAAGGATTTGCAGTTGGTTTGTAAAAACTAAAGTAAATTTGCTTTGCCAACATCACAATATGGTGTGAAGTCTGAACTTGGCTTGGTTCTTCACTTCTCAAGTAATTAATACTAGCTAGCAACACCAACTGGTATGCTCCACCTCGCCGAGTGCAATGTGTTCTATGCTCCATGAAGGCGTCTCTAGGCGACCCTCACCACTGGTCCTCACATCCTCGCCATCGACGGGTATACCTATATGAACATAAGGCAGTCGAAATGCAGCACTTCCATTATCCAAGTTGAGATGACTGAAGGCAGTGTTATTGTTTTTATAAATCGATTCACATGATTGAAACGAACGCAAAGAACGACTTTTGCCTTCATCGGCCAAACGAACGAGTCCCAATGCAGTGGAAAGGAACACTTGCTCCAGGCCCTGATCTGTTTCGGTTGAGGTCTCAAAGTATGTGGCTCCTATGGAGTTAGCGAAAAGATGGGCCTCGTCCCGAGAGACCGCACGCTCAGCGTGCATGTCCATTTTATTGCCCACAAGTGTCAATATCATTGGGTCTTGAACATTACGATGCAGCTCCTGTATCCAGCTTTTAATTTCCGCAAATGTTTTATATTGCGTTAAATCGAATACCAAAATGGCGGCGTTTGCATTGCGATAGTACATAGGTGCCAATGCTTTATAACGCTCCTGGCCAGCTGTATCCCATATCTGCAAAAAGTAATTATATAATTTATAAAATAATAAGCAATTTCCTTTGTTTATGCATTACAGAAACTTCTATGTAAGGCAATTTATCAGAACGAATGCCTGTTTCGCTACTTTCTACTTTTCTAAATCCGACATCATGAATTTATTCAGTCCCTTGATTGAATGGTACAGCTGCCCCGCCTGAACTTTAATTGAGTCATTCCATTCTGCTTTTATTCAGCAATTTTGCGCTTTATTCTTTTGGTTTCCCACAATAATAACAATCATATTGTGTGCTGCTTGTGGTCGAACTTTATGCGCACAATTCAAATCTTAATAAAAATTTGGAGCAACGACATTTTCATTGCTAAATCGAAAGCAGAACCAGCACAGCATCGGCAGAAACAAAGAGTTTGGAATTCTTGCAAACTCAAACTATAGCGTCAATTGCAAATAAAAATTTTTGCAGCCATTGTTGTGCTGTTGCGCTCTTTATGTTGTTGCATAAAGGGAAGCAATGCGCAAGGGTATAGTTTGTTTTTGTGTACAAAAGGGTGTCCACCCTAGGGGAAGTAACGGACGCTCTCGTTTAGCTTATCAATAAACTATAAAAAGAAAGCGCGCCAAGCTAACAAAAATAACAAAAGAAAATAAAACTGAAACCTTCCCTCCCACCCTCCTCCTCCTTCTCTTTCATCTCAGTACTGAGCACAGACACGCAAAATGCAGTGAACGCAGAAATTGCAAAATAAAAAATGAAATAAAATGAGCAAGAACTAACAAAGGACGATGGCAGCAGCCATAAGCTGAGCTTAGCCACGCTCGACCATTGAACTAAATAGGATTAGTGGGCGTGCCGTATGTTGTCGGGCTGCATGGAGCCAGCGAGCAGCAGCAGCTCTATAAATTATGCGCAATCCTTTGGCCGCTGTCAGTTTTTATAGCCGCGATTTGTTAGCCTAATGCCCAAACAATTGGCTGAGCCTTATATTAAAAACAATTTTACGCACTTGCAATTTGATTTTGACTTCGTCCAACATGATTTTACATGTAAAGAATGATACTCCTATCGTTGGTTCCTCATTGCGATGCAATGTACTATTGATGTATTTGATGACCAAACGCGTCTTGCCCACGCCTGAAAATAGAACGATTTATATATGTATATAAAAGGAAATAGTGTGGGGAAAGTTACAGTTATTTTGATTAGCTCTATAATATCAAGAACGTAAAACGATTATATGACATAAAGTTCATAAACAAAGTCTAAGACAGCTTGAAGGCAATAAAAGATATTGAATTATATTATTTAACAGTAAACAATGATAAGAACACATAAGGCTCTTTGTGTTTGTCAGTGGATGCCGGTGGCTTTTTAAAAATCCCGAGATGACAAACGATATACATACTTGTATAAACATACATACGATACTGCATTCGCATGTATATAGACGACAAAGCACTGAATCATCAAGTAATTCACAATCGCATAAAGAACAGATGCCCCCAATACGATATTATGAACTGAGTTTAAAAGTCCCCAGTTAGCTAAAGACATACCCGTCTATGGAAATAGGCATTACATATGCAAAAGCAACAACCGGGTAGCGCGACTGTAAAATCAACGAAATGTGTGTTAAAGCACAGTCAGCAGCAACCGCATGCCCTACGCCCAGCCTGAGTAAATTGTGCTCTGGAATTCAGCAAATGATAAGGGAACAAAGCGCAGCCCCCATGCCAGATTCTCAGACAAATAGTCCAATAAAAAGTGTGACACTGCCGTTGCTTTGGTGGCTAGGCCTGTGCCCGTGCACGCAGTCTAGCTTAAGCTGTTGCTACTTATTTATGTACATACTACATATACATACATATGTACATATACTTGTGTACATAGGTGTGCTAAAAGAGGCAAACAAATTAAGGCGTTCACTTCTGCACACTCGCCCGCCCCCGATTTAGGCCAATGAGTTCAAGGCTGGCGCTTATCGATTCGCGTGCCAAGATGCCTCAAATCGGTATTTTGGGCATCTGCGTGGCTCTTATTGTTGCTTTGGCAGTGTTATCTCGCTGCGATTGCTGGAATTGCTGCTTCAGTCTTATGAATGAATCACAATGTTATTAAGGCTCAATGCATTATATTTTACTATACGCTTACCTCGGGAACCAAGCACAACAACTTTGCCCTCAATTACGCGCATCTTATTGCAATCAATTTAATAGCATTGCCGACAAATTGTGCCACTGTTATTGGTTACTGGCTCTGCTGATGCATAATTTCGCATGCATACATTCATATGTACATATGTTTATACGTTATTGTTCAGAAGTTGTAATGTTTACAATTTGTTACACGTCGGAAGGCACTGCTTGGGATTCCTATAAATGCTTTAATTATGGATTTAGGCGGGTACTTGATATATATACAGATACAAAATTCACTTAAAAACTCCAACAGCGCCGGTTGTTGCGCTTACAAAGATAAAGATTATAATAAAATAAATGTTATTGTGCGTTCTTCCCTGCTAGAGATGGGACAAACGATAGTGTAAACTAACCAGCTGATTGGCAGGGCCGCGTAAGCAACGCGCCCTAACATCATAGACATAATTAAAATTGTGTGCTTTTTAATAGACCTATTTAATTTAATATTTTAATGTTTTAGAGCAATGATTGTGCAAAGTTATAATGTAACATAAAATAAATGTAAACCATAAATTGTTTTAAGCACACTGCCACATCGTACATGAACATCCAGCGTTGCCATATTGCGCAAACCACCGCCAATTTTTACCAGGCAGATGGTGTCGTTCTTTTTGGTGGAGAAAATTTAATATTTTTTAAAGAACATACTAATATTTTATATAAAATTTATTATGCAATTAATATATCAAATGTTGTACGCAAAATTTCGAATTGTTAAAGATTAAAGAGCGTGCGACTATTCTGTGCCAAATGCACATTAAAGCCTACAAATCCGCGCGCGTTTTGGCTTGACTGATTGTTTTATTTCATTGTTTCTTTTTAAGTGATACATATCAGAAGGTAATCAACGTTGAAACAATGCGGGCTAAATTGTGGTTCGATTACCAAGTTTGCTAACTCTTGTGCATGCATGCACTAGCAAATCACACCACATAGCCGTACGTCTACGGCCTGTACAATGCCGCGTGCCCACGCCTAGAGCGTCAATAACCACACATTGGTTTTTTTACATTTTGCAGGCCAAATGGCAGCTAACGGATCTGGCGTAGTGCATAAAATTAACAACAGCTATGAGTCGGAACCATCAACTGGCAGCGGGGTAAGTAAAAGCTTACCTTATAGGCCTATACATTTATAATTTACCACTCGTTTCAGTCTTCACTAAGCGAAAATAATGAGGGCCAAATATCTGACGAAGAGAATATATTGAATCTGCCATATCTGCTTAAACCTAAGGCAATCGCATCCAAATCTCAGATAGTTTTGCATGATACCAATAAAACAATCCTACAAGGCAGCCAAGAGTCGGATTTTAAAGGTTTTGGAGATAGTCCATACGGAAAAGTCAATAAGCAGCTCTATGGTTCCCAGTTGCAGAATTTAAAGTTACCCGAGCCAGAACAGCCCACAGGGTCCCGGAAATCACCGGGTAAGACTGTTTTTCCAAGGTTTTACGATATAGTCTTGGAGGAAAACAGTTCTAATGCAGTGGATTTGCCGCTGCGCAATGAACAGCTCGCCATGGACAATAACACGGTGAATTCAGTTCCAATACTCAGCAACCTGTCGTTTAATGGCAAAATTAAAAGTCTGACCGAGGAGCGCAATTCAAAAGATGTTGATTTAACAACTAACTCGGCAAACTGCGACATTCAGCAGAATGTTCGTCCTTCTGCGCCACTAGATAATTCAATGAATACCTCAAATCAGCTGACGGACTCGTTTATGCTGAAGAAATACAATAATGAACGGTCACCCGATCTGTTTGCCGACAGCGATGGTAATGAAGGTGACGAGGACCAATCCGATAAAGTCATGTGCATAGCTCTTGAGGATGTGCCTGAAGTACTGGGGGAAAGTCGCTATGTCGATGAGACGCTCGAGCAAAATATTCCTACACGATACTCTCTTACCGGTCCTACGGAATCAAGTTTTGTTGACGAGAACACGCTCGACACATCAACTACTCAGATATCGGGCAACGATTCGCGATCCCATTTTCTTGAGAATTGCCGGCGTGAGCGTGAACTCTATCGGCGCATTAGCAGATGTCTACAAGGCGTGCGTCCTCCACCATCGGTAACCTCGCCCGACATCGATGTCCTTCAGACAGTTGTAAAAATGAAGGAAAATGTACTGAACTTTTTAAAAACAGCGACAGTACCGCCTGTCGAGGACAGCGGCATTTGTGCTACACCATGCCTATTTAAGCCCACTCACAGCTTAGACGAAGCACAAAACATGGCTTGGCGTGAAGTGCTGGGTGTCCGCCAACATGGGCTCAGGTACAAAATGCAATTTAGCTTTAATGTTCAAAGCTTAACTATATTATATCTTGCAGTTACAACTTGAACAAAGCTGCCGAACAAAATGAGTATCTCAGTCTGTCTGTTGTGGATCGCTATATAGGCGCTGAAACTGCCACTTCCTATGTACGCTCACCATCCAGCGCCAAAAAGCGCAACATGCGCATGAAGTAAGTGCAAATGCCGATTCAACTTGTGCGTTTTTATGCATTTTCTTGCTCCAACAGAATGCTAACACAATCACCGGGCAATCGTCTGAGTCATTTAGCGAAAAGGCGCGCCATATTCTCATCTGCAAATCTAGCAACCAACTCTTTGAAGTTAAACAGCTCTATAGGTCCACAGATATTGCTTGACAAAAAGTAAGTCCAGGAACATTTAGGTATCTCTATTGTTGATAAACCTATTATTTTATGCTCCACAGAAAAGTCCGAAATAAACGCAAAGCTACGCCAAAACGCAAAACTCCGGGTAGCAAAAAGAAAAGTAAGTGGAAAGAAAATGTTCGAAAACTATGTCTGTAAATGTAATTCATTTATACAGCAGCGCGCAAAACGCCGTCCAGTTCAGCACGAAAACGTCTTTATCGCAATGATCTCATCAAACCAGGCCCCTCACGTGAAACATCTAAGCGAGCACTATTTCAAAGTCCCGCAAAGACGCAGCAGCTCAATAAATTGTTGCCACCAAAGCCGCTTATCAAGCCTGAAATCGCGAATCGCGTGGAGAAATCCAAACGGGCCCTTTTCTCACCTGACAATCAAACCATCGCTAGTAACAACCAATTAGAACAGTTGCTTAAGCGCAAACGCAACGATGAGGAAGATGCCGATGATTTGTCAAGCCAAAGCAGCAAACTTTTCCGTGCCAACAGCAGCAGCGGCCTAACGCCACGCGCCCTTAAGATAAAGAGTCAAAGTTTTTGTATTGGAGCTGGTTCCTCCACGACATCGCAACAGAAGGCTGTTCTTCACGCTCAGCAGGCGGTGGCAACAGCGACGCACACACGCTTGAGCCTAGGACTTAGTGGCAGTAGCAGCAATTTGACCAGCACAGCCAGCGGAACACCCTCAGGCATTAAGCTGCATCGTGCGCAATCTGAGATGAGTGCCTCGACGCACAGCACTATGACTGAGAATCAGCGCAAGAAATTGCTTTGGGCCGTGTCGCAAGCTCTGCAGGAGAAAAAGATATCGGCCAAACATGAGCATTTCCGCCAACATGCCGCTGACTTGGCACGCATAGTAAAGCGCATCTTTCAGGAATTTTATTTGGGCCAAACCTCTAGCAACAGCGAAACCTTACTACGGTTAGTTTTCACTTATTGTACCAAAAATTGTTTCTCATTTTTAACAACATATTTTTCATCCATTCCATAGATTGGCCAAGAAGTATGCGTATAATGTGATAAGCGGCAAGAACAGCGATGAAATTTATGTGTATGCGCGCAGTCAAGAAAGTGATGCCAAGCGCCAGTCAAGCTCACGTCTTTCCGGTTACATTGGACCAGAGGAGTTTGAACAGCGGAAGCTGCTGTTTTCACACTCTACCAACTCATTGGCGCGCAGTAAACTTACCGGCTCAGCTCACAACATTTTTGGCAGTGAGAACTCAATCGATTCCTTCAGTCTTAGCCAGATGAGCCAAGTCACTTCTGGCTACGGCGACACACAAACCCAATCGAGTTTAGTGGAACGCATTTCTGAAGAATTGTTTAATGGTGGTAAAACCAAAAAGCTATCCATACAACCAAATGCATCGCTACAAAACAGCTCCTCGAAAAGCAATTTGGGTGGATTGGCGTTGCGGGAGAACATGGATTGTGAGCAACGGCGTTCGGCGCAGAAGAACTTTACTGGCAAGGATCAACGTAATATAAGTCCTTACTATAGCGGAAGCAACAACAACAGCAACAGCAATGGTCTAAGTGGGAACAACTCAGCTCGCAAAATTCAGGCAAAAACAACAGACTCTGGGGCCAAAGCCAAGCGCCAGATTTCCTTTGATAGCTAAATTTTGTACACCTTTCAATCATAGTTCCATTTATATGTCACTTTATACCAACGTATTGTATTTATTCTATAGATCTTTTTTTGCTAAACTTCTTGGTTGTTTTAATTATTTAGCATTTAGCTTAATTTATTTTTAATTCACTTTTTCGTTTTTTATAGTTTTAAACTTTTCCCGCAAGTCTTTTGTACTTAAATTATGATGTGGTACAAGGCAAATGCAATATATTTCGATGAAGTTAGAATCTAAAGAACGAGAAACAAATTGTGCTTAAAGTTACAAATATTTAACTAGTTACATATTACATATGTGTAAAATGGGCCAAGAACTTCAAATTGAATACGCACTAATGAAAACATTATAAACTTGTAAAAATAAAAATTGAAATAGCAAATGTCCATACTTATTTAATAGTAACCACTGCGGTTAATATATCGCCGCACCAGCCTAAAGGAGACGATGTGGAAGACCAAAGCAACGATCAGCAAACTAACACAATCTAGCCAATATGTATAATCAGCAGTACGATAGGAGCCCTGCTGCAGTACCTCTAGGCCTGTTTTGACACACGGGTGTTCATCGTTGTCCGGGCAATCTAATCGTATTATAAAAATAAATAATTATTCAAAAAGCAATGGCCCCGCACTTACCGATATTGTCAATGTCAATCCAAAAATTGTACATCAGTGCCTCGTTCGAGTAGAAGAACAATGAGAAATACTTCAGCAAAGGTACTGAGTCTACATTCATATAAGTGCCTCCAAATATGAGAAAAATCAAATCGAATGGCGCCGCACACTCCGAAGCCATTTTGTCCGTCTCAAACAAGCTGGAGAGGAATACACCATAGCCAACGGCAGCAGTCGCCGATAAACCCATAAGAAAGCCCATGGTGATGTAGAGCACGAAACCGCGAGTGTAATAAATAGAAGCATAAATAACTGAAAGAAATATATAGGCCTTGCAGAAGGCCACTGGCACAAACGACAACACCAAGGCCACATAATAGGCCGACAGGCTGTAGGTGCCCTCGCCCACCTCTCGACGTATAATGGGCAAAGAGGCGGGAAAGATGTAAGTGACGCCATAAGAAAATGTAAAAATCATCTCGTTGCTTAACATAAAGATCGAACCACCAACATCCTGAACCGTGCGTTGAGTCAGCCCGCCAATTCCAGAGTACATAAGGGAGAGCGTTACTGCGGTGATCTACAGAAGGAGTGTTTTAAATAAGCAAAAAAAATGTTTGGGACTTAACGCACCATAAAAAATCCAAAAGCAATGAGCGCATCCTTTATGTTGCGCAAATCTTCAGTCATGAAGCGTATTATCAGCAGATACACCTGATATATCCAGCGTATCTTCTTGCTGCAAATCATTTCACTTATGAGAAACACATACACATCAAGGCTGAAGAAATCCATACTTACAAGTTATGCACATGTTTCAGGTAATCCCCACTGTAGCTCCGGGCCAGTAACCAACTACCGCTGTACAGGCCATCAGTTTCGTGCTCGTACTTGGCTCGCAGCACCGCTCCCGCATTTTCTGAGCTGTGACTATCCGCTAGTGTCTTCAGATAAAAGTCTGCAGGATTGCAGTTCAGCGGCAGTGTATACCCCAGACTGGATGACGAGAAAGCGAATCAATCCAAACAATCAACAAAAGGATATGCAAACTTTGTGAACATAAAAAATTATTTATATAGCAAGCAATTCCAATCTGAGATTTACATTATTAGAAAACAGGTCTGACGGACAAATTATGTGCACGTAATTAAGAAAGAAAAAATCTTCAACAGTTTTAAGCAATGCTATTCCTTCTCGACAGATGTTTGTTATCCGCAAACTCTTTGGTCGTCTAGTTATACCCTGTACCCGTAGGGTAAAAAGGGTATATTAGGTTTGTGCAAAGTATGTAACATGCAGAAGGAAGCATCTCCGACCCCATGAAGTATATATATTCTGAATCAGCATGACGAGAGAAATCGATCTAGACATGTCCGTCCGTCCGCCTGTCCGTCTGGATGAACGCAAGGATCTCAGAAACTATAAAAGCTAGAATAACCAAAGTTGGTATCCAGATTCTCCTAGGTCCGAGAAAGGACGAGTTTATTTTATTTTTTGGAATCCCCCCCTTCCCCCGCTACAGAATTTCGTCAATAGCGTCCACATTTCAAATGCTACCTACAAGTAAACCAAACTTTGCACACATAATTTCTATATAATTATCTACTGTTGTTTTTTTTTTTTTTTTTTGAATTTATTTTATTAACTTCGGTCAATTCTAAGAAAAGTTATTAGCGAAACAAATTCTCGCCAGTACAACCCCCCCCCCCCCCCCCCCCACACAAAATACAGCAACAAGTTCGCTCTTCTTCTTCCTCTTTTTGCTGCTGCTATGGGCGCATATAACTCAGTGACGGAAGTTTACCTGGGTACAGGGTATTACACTGTCGGGCTTGCTCGACTGTAGCATTCTCTCTTGTTTTTTAAAATCAAAAACCTAATACGGAACTAAATTTATTTTCACACTTACTCTGTAAAGAACTTGGCCGCCTTCTCGGTACGTCCCTGATATACAATGCGACCGGCATCCATGAGTATTATGTGTGTGAAGAGCTCAAAAATATCAGAAGTTGGCTGATGTATGGAACATATGGCTGCCTTTTTTTGCGTGCCATTAGGGCTATTATTTAGGATGTTCAGCGTGGGCAACTCTTTCCACGAGCTGAGCAAACTCTCATGTGATTGATCGACAACTTCCATTTCAAAGGAGTTGCTAATACTCTCATCGCTGGGTGTGGAGTAGGAGTCCTCTCCATACACCTGAGTCAACGAATGCTTCGCTATACGTCGGCGCGTACACAAATGACGCAACGTTTTGATCACTGTGTAGGCGCTGAAGCTGTCCAATCCTGTAGTGGGCTCGTCACAAAACAAAAAAATTGGATCTGTAATTAGCTGGATCGAATGAAAATCCTTAGCTCCGATTTAGTATTTTTAAATAAAGTCAAATTTAATGCCAATGCTAATCAAAGTTCCATTCTACATTGATATCAAATTCAAGTAAATAACCAATTATTTTTTAAAACATTTTTCCAAAAGTTAAAAATTAATGCCAATCAATTCTCAAAATGTTTAAGATACATAAAATTGTATTCTCTGCGGCTCTCTGTCTTTAATATTTGCTCTGATAATCCGACTTGGATCATGTATAACTCGTAGATCGTGGAATAAACGTTTTGAACAAATTCTATCCAAGTCTCGACGGTCTTTCGTTTGACATACTTTGGAGATCGTTCGATGAAATTGTATTCTCTGCGGCCTGTTTTTAATATTTGCTCTGATAATCCGTTTTGGATCTTCTATAACTCGTAGATCGTGGAATAAACGTTTTGAACAAATTCTATCCAAGTCTCGACGGTCTTTCGTTTGACATACTTTGGAGATCGTTCGATGAATTTGTATTCTCTGCCGCTCTCTGTCTTTAATATTTGCTCTGATAATCCGACTTGGATCTTCTATAACTTGTAGATCGTTGAATAAACGTTTTGAACAAATTCTATCCAAGTTTTGACGGTCTTTCGTTTGGCATACTTTGGAGATCGTTCGATGAAATTGTATTCTCTACGGCTCTCTGTCTTTTATATTTGCTCTGATAATCCGTCTTGGATCTTCTATAACTCGTAGATCGTTGAATAAACGTTTTGAACAAATTCTATCCAAGTCTCGACGGTCTTTCGTTTGACATACTTTGAAGCTCGTTCGATGAGCCCAATGAAATGTTGAATGCAAATCTCAAAAACACTCACCTCCTCGGCTAGACTTAGTCGCTTTCGCTCTCCGCCCGATAACTGCTGAATGCGTGTGTGGGCGGAATCTCGTAATCCCACCGCCAATAAGAGGTCACTGACGCGCTGGCGTTTCTCTGATTTCGTCGTACTGCGATGCATTTTAAAATGGGACTGTTGATTTAAGCAATTATATGGGTAGTTGCTGAATAAAAGTATGCATGCATATAAGTACGTACCATAAAATACAAATGTTCGTAGGCCGTAAATGTTTTAACATTGATTTCAAACTGTGGCAAAAAGCTCGAGATGCGTGTCATCTGATGCCTTTCCATAACCATGCCGTTTAAAACCACATCACCGGTTAGGTTACCACGCAGGCGTTGCGAAATAGCGGCCAATAGCGTGGTTTTGCCAGCACCCGACCCGCCAAGTATAGCGATGAGGTCGCCAGTCTTCATGTGGCCACTGACTGCGGAACAAGCAAAACCGCAAATTGGGCAAGCGCATATTTTCTCACAGCCCCCACTGGCCACAACTCACCATCTTGCAGAATGCGCAACTCGCGCTTCTTCCGACACTCATTCCAAAAGCTATAGTTGCTCTCTTCCTGCGCCGGCACGTAGTAGTTAAGCCGTTTCCATTCCAGGCACAAGCCCGGCTGTCCACTGGACTCCTCCTCCATGCCAGAGTTCAATGTACTGATTAGCAAAAAATAATAAATCAAGAGTCTACTCGTATGTGCGGCACGCGTTCTTCTCGAAGTGAAATGATTCTTTGGGCTTTAGTTTTGAATTTCGGGCAGCAGCATCCGCTTATCATGCTAAGACAACTCCTTATCTTATCACCTCACACCGTTAATACAAACGTGTTTGTATAAGCACAACCATTTCCACAGTTCATTCATTTGCTTTTACATAAATCCAAATGCTCGGGTGAAACCTTAAATCTGTCACCTTTGCACGACGCACCAACCGTGGAATAAGTATACGACTACTAGTACCCCACAGACGCCACAACTGCCACAACCGTTCGAGTCAAAGACCGGGCACCGACTATGCTTCATAGACTCCGAGCTTCGCTCTTTTCTACCCCCACAACGAGTGCCAGTTGTGTGCTCTCAATAAACGCTAGTTATGGGTACTCGTATTGGTAATGCTAAACTTTTGACCGCATTAACTAAGCTATTTATTTATTTATTTCAACGTTATAATGAACGCAAACTATTTATTTGAAACAGTTTAAAAATAAAGAGTAATTAATAATTAATAAAGGTAAGATATTCGCAAATCAATCTGAGAAGCTATGACGATCTACAAGTATCTCCATCTATCTCTATACCACCAACTTTTGATTGATCAAATATATCTGAGATGCTTTTTTATTCGCTTTTGAACTAATTTTCAAATTCAGTCCCATTTTATGTGAAGTATGTTGGAGCTTTCCAAAATACGTATAAAGATTTCTTCTTGATTCTTCCTGATTATCAAAAAGACTCATGGTTAGATTCTGAGCCTTAACCTCGTAATGTATTCATATAAAAAAAAAGTGTAAATACAAAAATACGGTACAATCTATATGGTAAGTCCTGGTTTAAAAATAAATAACAAAAGTTGTATACAGTTCTACATGGGTGGCTCTTTTTCAGGAAGTTCGATATAAAAAAATGTACTAACCACCTCTGAAATTCTCAAACAAGACTTTTAATTTATTTGTCTATATGATTAAAAAATAAATATTACAAATCAACGTTATAAATCAAATTTTGTAGTTTTCAATTGCTGGTCTTTTCGTATGTCGTTAACTAATTCACATATTCGAATGGTGGTAGTTCCGTTGTGGCCTCCAATGAAATTGTTGGCGGTTTTATATAGCGCTGTCGAAAAATGCGGCCGTAGGCCAAAATGCATCTCAGCAGTTTGAAAAGATCCCGTAGAACATTGTACAATATGACATGACACATTTGAACCAGGCCCATTACGCTGACGCCTACGAAAAAGGCCATGGCACCGCCGAAAGAAACTGCAAAAAATGCCAAAAATTTCACAAATCGGTTTCGAGAAACCGCAACAGTAGACTTTTTAAAACTACATACTTATATAAACTAACAGTTAAGTATGTATATTGATTTTTGTTTTATCTCCAGTTAGCAGAGCAAAGCTAGAAATTCGTGACTTCCGCAGCTTAAAAGTAATGCTCATTTAAAATGATTTTCAAATCATCTCAATCTCTCACTATCGGGAAATCACAAATTTTGCCTATATTACGTACGTGTTAGTTTTTATGTTTATTTTATACCAATGAGATCCTCAAAGCTGAACACCACATCGCGACGCATTCGCACCTTGGGCGGTATCAGATCCCAGCGAAAACTAGATGTAGCCGTATCACTACCCATGCCATCGTCATTGTTCTTTACACCCCATGAGCTCTTTTTCACCGTTTGCATGGTATACTCAATCTCTGTGCAGGTCGACGGACACTTGCATATATGTAGTGCCCAAATAGGCCACTTGAAATCAAGCAGACACTCAAAGCCTGCTGGACTACAGCTGGGTCCATCCACAAACTGATAGAAGAACGGCACACAGTTGCACATTTCCAAGGCCATGATGGCACGACAACGCGCCAGGCAAACCGACTTGCTATATATCTGTTCAAAATGGATATTCAGTTGCCATAGTTCTGGCATGTCTGTGATTCTATTTACCTTAAGATAGGAGGTTTCCTCATCGTTGAACACGCATTTACGTTGTGCCACACTCAACTGACGCAAGTTTTTGGAAGCACTGAAAAAGTATGGCAGAATCAGGACATCCTTCTTACAAAATTAAAAAAAAGACGATTTCATGAATAAAAATGGTGTTTTGATTACTAATTAAAATCTATTAAAATTAAATGATTATTTTATAAAATAAAAACCAAGATCAATCTGTCATTTTTCTGGCTTTGCAGATCCTGCATAAAGATTCTCTTGTTTAATGAAGCTAATCAAGAATAAACAATCGGACCAATATAGTAATGCTCTTCTATCCATTGGAGTTTAGGTATACAACATAACTACATTATTGTACCTATATATCAGAAATAAATTAATATATTTTTAATAGACTAAATTTAATTAATAAATTAAAAATTTAAATGTTAAAATTGCCATTTTTCCTACAAACACATAGCACATAGTATAAGGGACTACCTACACAGTTTCTAGCACTTTGAACGAGGCCGTTATTTCGTCCGATGTGTGCAAAGGAATGATATTGGCATGCGTGGCTGACACTTCAAATGGTGAGTGCACGTCGATCTAGATTTCAAATCTTCAGTCAGCATTTATATGTATATTGGATTGAAGCGTATTTGTTTCAACTTACTACGCCTGTGCTCTCATAAAGATCCATACGAATGTAGCACTGCTGCTTGCCATACTGACAGGACAGCGGCAAAGGCATCTGTTCGTATATCACGGGCCTGTTAAAAAATAGAAAATAGCTAAGGTGGGCCGGGCCCCATCATATGTGCTCCACACTCACTTTCCATTAAGCACCTCTGCCATGGGTGCATTAATGGCGTAGCACAGACCGCGCTCCGTCATCACCTGCTGCACCTGTACCCGGAAATTGGCATCGAAGCTGCTGATGAGCTGCTCGAAGGGTCGATCGATTAGCTGTATCATTTCGTGCAAGTCGATCTGATCAAAACGCTCGTCCTCCGCATATTTGGCAATGTCCGCATAGTTGCTGGTCGTGGCATTGACAACGGCATAAAGAAAGTCCATGAAAAAGAAATAGTCCTCATCAACTATGGACACATTCCAGATATCCTGTATAAATTCGTTGGCCTTAAACGAATCGATATGATCGTAGTAACACAAAGTCACCGCAGGCAGCGAACCATTCCAGCCTCTATAGTCCCGATCAACAGATATTACAGTGGGCGATGTTAAGAAACGTTGACGTTGCAAATCGCTCAGCATGAGGGCAGTATAAATGCTGAGCAGTAAGATCAAAAGCCATAATAGCCTGCACGAAATATAAAATATGGCACAAAACTTTTTTATCTCACAAAATACCAAGAGAATTGTCTATTGCCAGATAGATCTTTTGTTTATCCGGTTTTTTTTTAGTAAAACAAGTATAAAAGCTAAAGTCGGGTGTCCCGACTTTGAAATACTCTATACATATGCTTACAATAATTATAGAAATTAAAAAAAGTAAGAGAATAAAAAAAAAAAAATTTGATCGATTTTACCTCTTTTGGTATTCGAACTCACGTAAAGGGTGTATAATTGCACATATACAAAACAATTGCATCTATATGAGTGTATGAACGGCTATGCGCATCTATTCGTGTCTGTGTAAACATGTTTGCAGTCAACCAAAGCACCAGCATCAACAACAGCTGCGGGCAGCAGCAAATATATTTATGGCTATAACTTCTTTTGAAACTTGGGGGTATTTCCAAAATTATAGTTCGAAATTCCAAGAATTACGGGAGGGAGATTCCAAAATATACATTTTCTGCGTATTCACATAAGGCATCTGGGACCTAGGTCTTATAGTCTCCGAGATATAGGCGATTATACGAATGGAAAATCGGGAAAACCCCCATAGGGGGGAAAATCAAAAAAATAAAACAAACTCATATAGAATACACACATAAGGCATCTTTGTGAAAAATTTGGTGTCTCTATCTCTTATAGTCTCTGAGATCCAGGTGTTCATACGGACGGACAGACAGGGCTAGATCGACTCGTCTTGCCACGCTGCTCAAGAATATATATACTTTTTGGGGTCTGCCACGCCTCCTTCTGCCTGTTACATTGTTCATCTCCAGCAAACCTAATATACATTTCATGTACAGAGTATAAAAATCTAATTTTTAGCATCAACCATTCCCCATTTTATAATTGCTGTACTTCCATATGCGTTATCGAAAAATGCATAAATATCCTGACGACGGACCCACTTACCTCTCGCATGGATGTAACCTTCGGTTTACTGTCAAGCTAATTGCCAGCAAACTCGTCGCTGCACCGGCCTGTGAGGCTATTTCTACCACTCGGACTCTCAAATGTTTGAAAATTATACGCAGAGCTATGCCAATAACTTGAATTATATTCCATGTTCTCACCAAAACTTTGTTGACATACGACCGCCAATGTGCCATGTTGAATGCGAAACTACGAATGTTCGGGAAAAGGCATTTTATTGCTTACTTATTGCTAGTTAAAAATAATTCCACTCTGATTTATTCAACGCAATGCCCATTAGTGAGTTATTGCCCAGCTCAATTTGTATTAGAAATATAACAATGGCCAACAAAGCCCCGATGAACTGCTGGCAGAAGAAATGCATAATCAAAAACAATTATTGTTTTCGACAATTAGTCACGCACTTACCCCGCCCAACACTAAGGTGTCCAAATCGATTACACCACAGGCGGCCACAACATGGCCCTCATCCGCATTGAGCTGCAGCAGGAAACGATTAATGACGCGCTCGCACTCCTTGTCGCAAATGTCCAGCTCATTGAGCAGCAAGCACAGCTCACATTTCTGGGAGAAAATAAAACAGAAGAAAGAATCACACACTATAAGAGGGGAAAGAGAACTCGTGTTACTTGTGGATTTTTAATCATATAAATGGAAGACCAGAACAGCAGGCATATCTCATCGAACACTGATAAAGAATATAGACCGATATTTGCATCTAATATTTGACCTACTAAATTTTACCAGACAGACGGATGCTGGCCAGACCCCATTATATTAATTGATTACCTGTAGCAGAAGCAGGGCGGTACAGGGTATATAATATCGATCTAACCTTATTAAAGGAGTTTCAGCGTAAAATTAAAATGAAACATTCTGCAAACTTATTAAGTACACAGAGCATAGTCGAGATACTTACCTGCTCCACAATGCGCTCATTGCCCTTGAGTATTAGCCAAATGCGACCACCGTGAAGGATTAACCATAGCACACGATATAGAAAGAGCGCATAACTATGCCAATTGGGCTCCTCAAAGAATTTATATATGGCGAAAAAGTCCACACAGAAGCTAAAGAAGGAATTGCACAGATTCAGCAGCAGTACGTAGCCAAGGATGCCAATCAACTTGCTGTGCAATCGATCCAAGGTTGCCGAAGTCAGACGAAGCATCTCCAGCAGCTGTACAGCCTCTGTTAACCGGCTCTCCATCTCCTTATGACCATCGACAAAGGCGCAAAAGGCTTTCTCATAGCCAGCGCCCAGTAATTTCTGATATCCTGTTGGCGGAAGGAAGCTCTCATTGAGAAGACGCTTCACCACCAGTAAACGATCGCACAATTGCACGTGCAGCTGCCAGAGTATGTGCAGAGCTATTGCGTATTGGATTAGATTCAAGCTGATCATGAGACCCGGCAAATTATGGATGCTATTGCTGTGCAGGGTGCAGAGCCAATTATAGTCACAGCATAGGACATCGAAAGCAACACAGGTAGCATGAAAAATGAAAACAGATATTAGCAGCTTTAGTATCCGACGTCCTAGAGAGGCATAGAACTGCTGTGTGAGCTCAGGATCCTCGCACAAACGCGTCTGCAAGCGATACAGTTTCTGTGGCAGATACTGATAGAAAGTCTCGTTATACGGCCCACCAAAGATCAAAGTGCCAAGTATTAGAATGTTAAATGGATATTCCAAAAGATAGATGAACTTCTCTATTGTGATCATTTGCGATTCAAAATGCAGTAATCGGAAAATACTAAGGCCACATATATAACAAAACAGAACTAGTCCCCAGGTAAAGTGCAGACATCGTTTGAAAGGAGCGCTTTTCGGTTGAACAGGCGCCATCACAAAAATGCGACTGATGGTTAGCAGGAAGTTAAGGCGTCGATGGTAGGACTCCAACACACTTGAACTGCACATCCTGACGTTTTAAGTAAAACTGTGAAAGGGTTGACTGGCAAGGTGGGTGCTTTTCATTTGTGACAGCATTGCTAAGTATTTTTTTAATTAATGAATGATGAAAGACTAGCCCAACTAATGGAATATTAATGGATCCTTCTGTTCCTCGTGGCTCATACGCGATGTTGAGCTTGAAGAAACTGCCACGCAACCAACGTAAAACTGTCGCCTGGGTGGCAGAGTCGTGTCGTGCAGCCAAATGTGATGTCATACGTGATGCACTTAACATTCTGCTCGTCGTCTGCATTCTTACGGGCTGTGCGCCGGCATCGGCCCTTCAACGTTTCCAAGGAGATCTGTACGGGAGCTTGCAACTTTGCTGGCTTCTCCTGTGCTATATCTGGCTGTGTCTCACAGCCTATTTGGAATTCATAACCGAAACTATCACACTTATGCAGCTGAAGCGCAACTTGTATCTTGTCGAATCACTCATTTATCTGGCTCACGTCGCATTTATATTGCAGCTTAGCTTTCGTTGGCGCCACAAGCTTGGAAATGTAATCGACCAGGTGGTAGAGTTTGACGTGACCGCCAATTACAGTGTAGATTGTCAACGACTGAAGCGATTTGTACGCCTTCACTTGCTAGTCCTGCTTATTTTCACTTGCGTCGCCGGAGCCAATGATTTTTGTTTTAATGATTATAATTTAACCCCTTTCTTGCGCAGCACCAGCACTTACATTATTCCGAATATAATAACTAGCATATCCTTTGCGCAGTATTACTTGCTGCTGTATGGCGTTGCCCGCCGTCTTATCGCCTTCAATCAGTCCCTAAAACTTGTCCTGAAGCAGCCGAACATTTCACGTGCTTCAATCCAACAACTACGTTGGCAGCATGCTTGTCTGCAGCGCTTCACAAGGCGCGTCAATCAGACGTACGGCGTCGCGATCCTCTTCATTTATGTGGGCTCATTTATCAATTTGAACCTCAACATTTTTTTGCTCTACAAATACCTTAACAGTCCTACATATCCTCCGTGGCCTTCATGGGCATACACGTTCTTATGGCAGGGAATGCAGGTGGGGAAAATGTTCACCATTCTTTACTTCAATCACCGGGTGCAACAGCAGGTAAGTCCTACGAAGTTATCATTTTTAATCATTAAATTAAAGTAGATTTATTATTTTAGCAGCGCCACTGCTTACAGCTAGTCACCAAGGCTCGATGCGAGAATGCAAATGTGATTGAAACTTTAAATCATTTCAAGTTACAGCTCTGCTCAAATGTACGGGAATATGTTGTCTGCGGTCTTATAGTACTGGACTTTAAGTTTATAACGGCGGTGAGAAAAAGGGCTATGTATGTTTAGGGTGTGTACTCATGAAATGTTTCTTTCAGCTATTAATGGCCACTGCCAATATATTAATATTCATGGTTCAATACGACATCACTTATGCTGCATTGTCGCGGGCCAAGAACGAAACATATCTTTAGAAATGGTAGACAAATGGATATACAGGCGACACTCGCAAACTGGAAAGAAATATTCACAAATTAAAGCAGCAGACTAATGTTATTTAAAAACTAATGTTATTATAAAAAATATAGTATAATAATAATAAACATCAAAACTGACTTGTGCATTTTTAATAGCTTTTTAAGCTTCCATTCAGTGTTTCCTTGAAGGTCCAAACGTTTCTCTGGCTGTATATATGTATGTTTGTTGAGAAAATATTATGTGTACTTATTTCTTATTTCTGAAAGATTCAAACTTTTAAATTCAAATTTCGATTTGTTGACTACCAAGTTTAAGGTTATTCTAATGGATGTATTTTCAATTAATTGGTCTTTTTGTTATAGAATTTCTGGCGAGTCTATACTGTACTTTGTTAAGCAAAGGACAGCGGTTGTTTATTGTTGTACAATTAGAGCATTATTAATAGTTTAGTTTAAGCGGTATCATTTAAATTGATTAATGAGACAAACTACTGAGAGTGCCTACTGACTGACTGACTCGATGTCTGACATTACTCATACGTCATGTTGGTTGTAAACAAAGCACCTCGCATATATCGCCGTAAAGTGGCTGCTTGGCTTCCTCAATCCCAGCAACGTGCGAAAGTGAAAATTATACGCAACGTTCTGCATGGGTTTGTTCTCACCAGCGTTCTGGCAGGATGCGCGCCAGCTGCAGCTCTTCCTCGTCTTCAAAGCAGCTTCTACACGTGGCTGCAGCTTGTTTGGTTCGTCGTTTTTTACACTTGGCTCTGTTTTGCAGCTTACTTCGAGTTTGTGCATACTACGCTTAAATTGGTGGAATTGCAGCGAAACTTGTATCTGGTGGAGTCGCTCATATATTTAGTTCACATCGCCCTTATTTTGTGTCTTAGTTTTAAATGGCGCAACAAAATTGGAGCTGTGATCGATGGTATTGTGGATTTCGACTTGGCCAATAACTACATTCTAGACTGTAAAAGTATTATGCGATTTATACGGTTTCATCTGACATTGGTGCTAATATTTACCTGTTGTTCTTTGGCTGTAGATTTCAGCTATAGTAATTATATTTTTTTTAATTCATTGCGCAGCATTACCACATATGTTTTGCCCAACATAATTACGAGCATTTCTTTCATTCAATATTACGTTCTACTATATGGAACCGCATCGCGTCTTAATGCCTTAAATAAGGCCTTGAAATTGGTCCTTCAGCATGCGCCCATATCTAGAGCTGCAATTCAAAATTTGCGTTGTCAACTCGTTCGCTTGCGACGGTTTACCAAAAACATCAATCACGCCTACGGGGCCTCCATATTATTAATTTATGTGGGTTCCTTCATAAACTTAAACGTCAGTTCCTTTCTTATGTATAATTACCTTGAAAAATCTGATTCTACTCCCTGGGCTTTGTGGGCTTATAACATTTTGTGGTATGGTATGCATCTGGGTAAAATGTATACAATACTTTATTTTAATCATCGCGTTCAACAACAGGTGAGTCAAATCACTAACACAAAAATCAATGTACATATTTATATTATAACAGCAAAAATACTGCGTGGAGTTACTAAATAAAGCAAACTGTGAGGATATAGATGTTCTGGAAACCTTAAGCCATTTTAAACTACAGATTTCTTTCAATGTTCGGGAGCATGTTGTGTGTGGCCTCATAGTATTGGACTTTAAATTTATAACGGCGGTAAGCTGCAGAAATATCATTTTTGAAGCACAGCTAATATTTTTTATTTTCAAGCTACTTATGGCCTCTGCTAACATATTTATATTTATGGTGCAGTACGACATAACATACGCTGCCCTCTTGAAGGCCAAAAACGAAACAAATGTATAAAAAATACATTACTCATATTTATAATAAATCGATCCAATTAATAAATATTTTAATTACTTTACTTAATTCATTATAAAATACATACAATATAGAAATCAGTTATTAAACTTACACCGACAGCCAACACATGTATTGCTGGCGATATTCGTCTGAATTATGAAATAAATTATACTTTTAGAATTATATTTCGGCAATTTACACAGCTCCGTGCAGCTCCAATCATTTTTATTCCGCAATGAGGTACTTTTCAGCACTTCATTGAAAAACAGTAGTTTGAAAAAGACCGCGCAACCTATAGATAAATATTGATCGAACTTACCTGCATGCAAAACGATAATTATCACACAGGTCACTGTTATCGTTTATCGTAAAGTCGCGCATCACTTTGTTTTGCACGTTTGCAGAATTTTGGCTTCGCGAGGCGTAAATATCAATTAAAAGACACAATCTCGCGATATGTGCGACGTTGCGGTGGTAAAGAAGATAGCTAACTGCCTGGGAGTGGCACCTGGCAAGGTTCAACTAAACGACGAACAGGTAAACTTACATATACACGTAAAAGAACTTTGCAAGGTACATAATCAATGAACATTTTATTGTCAAGGTCGTGACACGCACTATTGGCCAAAACAAAACGGTCCAAGGATTTGCTACAATACTTGAAAGTTTAGCGCGTGAGTCAAAATCGGAGGCAGCGCAGAACAGTACCAGTACCAAAGAAGTAAAGGCGCAAGTTTATCAGTGGCTGGAATTTGCTGTTCTGTATGTGGCACCCGGCTCTAAAGACAAATACGTGTCCAAACAACTTCTGGCTGACTTTAACAAGCTTTTTATTAGCAAATCGTATTTAGTCGGCAACTTTATAACACTGGCGGATCTGGCTGTCTATTATGCAATTTACGATCTTATGGTGCGTAGCATTGACTTATATACCGACCCTCGGCTAATATTTTAATTTGTATGTACATTCGTATTGTGTAGAAATCGCTTTCACCTGTAGACAAGGAAAACTATTTAAATTTGTCACGATGGTTTGATCATCTTCAACAGAGACCCGAGGTGCACCAAGGCGAACCCTTGCTAAATTTCACGACCATCTATCTTCACGGCTGGGCAACGGGCACGCACATCTAAGCCGCGAGTTGATTAAGAATTCTGTGTAGCTCATACTAAAAAAAATAAAATTATTTATTTCTGTTGCATTTTACAAGTAAATGTGTCAATGTGCCAATGAGCGTTGAAACTTAAATTATATTTATTGTAGCCATTTGAGAAATGATTTTACAAATAAGAACTTAAAAAATCGCAGATATTGCTCGAATCACTTTCTATGCGTTTCCGGTAATTGCGGTCTATAGCAGTGACTACTGGCACTTCTCCAGCATCAGTTTGCGGGTACCTCGCGGGGCGAATTCATGGAGTTCATTTCGTTTGGCTCAGTACACTTCCACAAGCCGTAGGTTTTGCCCACAGTGGTTTGCCATAAACGCAGTGTGCCATCTTCAGAACCACTTGCATAAAGTTCACCATCAGGGCTGAACTTTACCGAATGCACTGGACCAAAGTGACCCTTGAAGGATTCTAAGCGGAGAAAAATAAAAACGATTATTAATACATGATAATATATGTATATAGATGTAGATTATTTACTTACCAATTTCATTCCCGGTAATAAAGTCAAACTTGTACATTTTAAAGTCCTCGCCACCGCAAACAAAAACATCTTTGTCAGGATGTAAACTAGCTGACGACACATTCGTCGGCACTTTCACCTCCTTTAGTTTCTTAAGTGTATCAATCTCCCAGAAGCTGATTGTCGAACCGTGCGCGATGGTTAGCACATGATCATCACGAGAGATCTCCAAGCTGTTGGGATTGTTGGAAAACTGCAGACGCTGCACTTCCAGACCAGTCATGCGATCCCACAGACGCACAGTCCGATCCTCGGCCGCTGATATTATGCACTTGTCGTCACGACAGAATAGTGCACGCTTAATGGCACCACCGTGACCACCGTACAGCTCCGGCTCCGCACTGGGCTGCTCCAAATTGAAGACCCGCACCAGCTTCTCATTGCTTCCCGTCACAATGTTCTCTGACGTGCTGTCGAAAGCAACGCTCTTCACAATATGCTTATGTTGAAAACTATGAATCTCTGCACCGCTGACCGCATTCCACACTTTTCCGGTAAAGTCAGCAGCCCCCGAAGCGGCCAGCGTTGCATTCCGGTTAAGCGCAACGCCCCAGACAGCACCCTTGTGGCCTTCGAAGGTCCCAACCCAGTCACCGGTGTCACCATGGCGCAACATTGGGCTGCCATCTGTAAGGGTGTTGAGTAGAATGCTTGATTAAAAAGCTTCATTGCTGGTTTGTGTGCGTGTGTGCAGCGAAAATCACCTTGAATGAATGACTACATCAATGCCAACGACCTGACGCCAGCTGCAATCGATTCGTGCACAAATGCATGCAATCGAGCGGCAACCAATGGTGAAAAAAACTTCCCCAAAAAAAAACTCGAATGAATGTTTGATAAATTAATGAGATTAGTTTTAACTCTCAAAAGTTGGGCATCTAAGGAAATAGTGATGCATTTTTGGATGGCAGAGTCAAACATTCAAACTACTGAAAAATAGTAGTGTTAAGTTTTTGATTTCACTTACATTTACATGAAGCATATTTTAACTGCATAAATTATAGCATACTAATGAGAAAATTGAATGCAGGTTACTTTTAAACAAACGGTTCTCATACAATGTATGTATGTACATGTAAAACAATAGAGTTTTCATTCATCCAATTCTTTATAATTAAGCATATTTGTGTTAGTCCCACTGTCACTAGTTGCAATAATGTGCACGTCAAGTTGAATCGTGACGTTAGCTCGAAAGAAATGCATATCGGGACAGCCTATGAAATCGGTTGGTTTAGAAATAAAAAGTAGTTTTTTGTTTCACAATTTACACAGGCGGCTATCACTTAATAAATATGTATATATTTATTTAACATTATTTGACGTGTCCCAGCTGCAACATTCAGTTCGCATAAATAAATATAGAAGTTTCAAGGTACTTCCTGTGTGCACACAAAGCGGACAACAGCAATAACAACAATCAGTTTTTAAAAGTTGCTCAACAAGGGGAAGCGTGCGTTAAATGGCGATAAAAAATTAACTTGAACTTGTAATGGAAATTTGCTTTCCGCATAACTTTTTCAACGCACTTAACATATGGCAACAAGCACATATGTATGTATGTACTTGTAAGTACGAGTACAAACTTATAATATGTACATATGTATAAGTAAGTATGAATCTGTCCGCATGTTGTGTGCCCCCCGTCAAGGTAAAGAATGCAAAAATGATAGCATGCGAGAGTAGCAAAGGGTTTTGCAAAACAGGTTTCATGCAACTAATTGATTTGTATTTGGGTCAAGGCTTCAACCAGGCTAGACGGATGCTGCGGCTCGTCTATTGATCATCTCATACAACCATACAAGTACATACGTAGCTATTAATAATACAAGGACACTCACCTTTGCACGCCGAGATGAGAAAGTAGCCACTGTCGCAAATGTTACTAAAATCCAAATGCACCACAGGACGCGTGTGACCGCTACAAGTCAATGGAATTTGTCGCAAATTATTGCCTGCCATCCTAATAAGTTTTTACAAAATAAATATGTTTTTCTTTTTGTTGCACTTCCACGCACTTTCACACACAGCCAAATTGGCGTAATAGTTTCCTACACTTCGAATATTTATGCAGTCTAATGAGACTTATGAGAGATTTTCACTTAATTTAGTTTACAGTTAACTTTGTACTTTATTTTATTTAGCTAGATTTCAATTAATTTGCTGCCGTCTCATGCTGATGCACTTTTTTACACACACTTCATGTCCTTGGCGACTGGTACGTTGTTTTTCGTCCAGAGGTCACCAGCAAAAGCTTTTCACCGTTCGTTGTTGTCGGCAGTTGGTTGAACACAGTGACGTGAAAATTATTTACAATCTTTGTGTGCTGTTAATTGCTTTATTAACAACAAAAAATAACAAAAATTACGTGTGTGACGAGGCGACACGTAGTTGTTGTTGGACGATTTGCCACCCGAATGGCAATACCGTGGCATGCCGCACTTCTTTTATATGGCCAGTGGCATCACCAACGACTTATCGATAAATTATCACAAAAGACTCTGCTGAGTTAGCTGTCAAAGTATTCATTATTTTCAGTTCAGGACAAACAGAAACATAAGGAATACATAAAGATGTCCGCAATTCTAAACCACGCAATTCGTCGTCATGTTGGCGCTACCGCGGCCAGAAACATGTCCGGTACCGCGGCCGTGGCTGGTGAACATTCTGGTAAGCAAATCCTAGACCTCAAAACCAATTCTCTTTATGTAAGGTTAAGGTTATGTAATTTAATTAATGACCAAAAAAAATCCCAAAGCAAGGACTCTGACTCGTCTTTTACTGAATTTATTTTTATTGTAGGTGGCTACAAAGTCTGGAAGCGGCTGTCCTTCTTCGTGGCTGTGCCTGCCGTTGGATTGTGCATGCTAAACGCTTACCTAAAACATCAGGAGGAGCACGACAAACCTCGTCCAGAATTCATTAAGTACGATTACTTGCGTCGTCGCGAGAAGCGTTTCCCCTGGGGTGAGGGCAACAAGAGTCTGTTCCACAACCCCCACGTTAATGCTCTGCCCGATGGTTATGAGCATTAAGTGATGCAAGAGATTTCTGTTGCAGCTGGTTATGTTGGTGGTAAAATGGCTTATACACACATTCTGAAGCAGTAGGACGACACATGTATTTAATGTATTGCGCGCTGAAATTAATGCAAAAATACACAAAAACCAAACAGACAATCTGCACATTTATCGTTAACTCAGAGGGAAAAAAGAATTAAGGACACTACGACTCGGTGTAAATTTAATTTTTTTATTTTGTAAAACATAATCACAGCACAACGAGAATGGGTCCGAACATAAATATCTACAATAATCATTTATTCTTGTCGGCATTGTTTGGGATTTTATAAGAATTAAAAGTTCAATCAAATTCTCGTTTTGCTGCGTAAGTTAAATCTAGAATGCTATGGTATGGTGCTCTTTATTTAGCATATCTGCTGCCATCAATTTCCTGTTCTTAATTGATCTTTACTTCCCCTTTTTGCGTTGTACCTTGCTAGATGTTTGTCTCTCAACATCTATTACAGTGTCAGTACTCCTAGTCTGGCGTTTCGGCAGCCATTTATCCGGTGAACTTAATTCTCTTTTCATTTTATTTTGTTTTGTTCCCACAGGCGAAACACTTTTCTTAGCTTGTCCCACTTTTTTGTTGTTGCTACTTTTGGCTTGTGGTGGCGAAGGCGCCTTGCTCTGGGATTGATTTTCTATACATTCTTCGCCATCATCGTTGAGCAATTGCTGCAGCAGATCTGACTCTTCTTTAATCACAACGTCCACGTCATTTTTTCCATAGCTCTGATATGAAACCATATCTACAACGTGCTCGCCCTCGATGTGTTTCTGTAGATCCTCCGAGCTCAGGAATATTGCGTCGCAAAATCCACATTGAAATGGTTCGCTTTCCTTATGGGCTTCCACATGCTGATTGACACAATTTATATCTGGTATTTTCTCATTGCACAGCGGACAAATTAGTAACGTGCTGGCATGTGTTATGGAGTGATCCACTAGACTGTGGTAGGTTTTGAACGAGTTCTTGCAAATACTGCAGGTGAATGTAGCCGACACTTGCTTATGAGTGCGCATATGACGAGACAGATGGTGAGACAGCACGTACGACTTAGGGCAGTACTTGCAAGGATAGACGCGTTTTCCAGCATGTGCTACCAGATGACGGGCCAATTTGCCAGCAGTTATGAAACTCTCGTCGCAATGCTGGCACGGAAAAGGCAAATCATTGCAGTGAATTACCTAAAAACGGTAGAAAACAATTGAAGTGCTTATTAGTGACTACATATGTACATATAAGTTGGCAGCTTTCTCAATTGCACTTACCTCGTGTCGCTCCAGGCCTTGTTTGAAGGTAAACGATTTGTCACAAACTCCACATTGAAATGGGCGCTTTTTGGTATGTCGCTCAGCATGCTTTTCCATCTCCTCGCGCGAAATAAAAGGCTTCTCGCAATAGACGCAAATAAATTTTGGAATATCGGTATGGGTGCGTTCATGACGATGCAACAGAGTGCTCCGAGTAAAAGCCTTTTCGCAAACAGTGCATTTAAATGGACGTTCGCCGGTGTGCACCAAGTTGTGCTTCTGTAGATCATATTTGGAGAAGAAACTTTTGTTGCATTTTGTGCAGAGGAAGCTGCGTTCACGCGAATGATTGAGCTTGTGTATGTCAAGCAGCTGTTCAAGAGGAAAAGTCCGCTCACATTGTGGGCAAGGAAATACGTTTGTGGCTACGGGTGCGGCAATCTTTAACGGTTCTTCTACAACATCCGTTGTGCTAAGAATTTCTGTAACAATTGCCATATTTCCCTCTTCATCACGTTTAATCTGTGGTGTGGCCAGTCGTGGCTCAATTGGTGCGGATGCCCCTTTGTTGAGGATACGTACGGATTGTTTGTTCAGCAGCTTCGGTTTATTAGATGTTGAAACAGTCGGAACTGTTTCATCGTCCAATTCATCAGCCAAATCTGCGATCAAATTTTGAACGTCCATTGACAGCTCTTGATTACTTTCAGGCTTCTCCTGGTATGTCTGAGGGTTATTGTAACGCTTGTTGAAAACGCGTATTAATGTGGTTGGTGGCTCTTGTTTAACCAGTACTCCCAAGTTAAGCAATTTTCTCGTGGCAGAGCTTGTTTCCATAACTTCCACACTCTCAATTTGAACATTGGGCGACTTGGCCATCGAGTTCAAGAGCTTCATGGGTGGTGCATCTTTTGTTTCCTTTTTAAACTCCTGAACTTGCTTGGAAATGTGTGGAGCCCGGGGTTTCTCCAAAGGCTCTGGCCACTGACCAGTGAGTGGATATTGACGTAGCAAGGTATCCGCTCTTTTGCACATTTGCTTAAAACGATAGCAATGTTCAAATAGTAGACGACAGTCCAAACATATAAAACTCGGCATACCATCTTCGCTGTTCACCTACAAAAAAAAAAAATTCAAATACCAACGATTATTAATTGATTTTCGTAATTGGCAGCATTGCATTGAGCCTTGGCAGCTTAGCATACTTGGTATGGCAACGCTACATTTTCTTGGCGGCAAGAGGAACTACACAACTACAAATGCATTCGCAGTTTGTTTTTGTGAGCAGGCGGGCGCACGCTTAGCCTCTGTCAATTAATTGAGTAAACACAGTTAACCATAAAAGGATAAATTCACTATTTCGGGGCAAATGCAATTTGAACTTGCTATATTAGTGAAATTACGCACAACAGTTGGTTATTCCAGTTTATTTAAATTAAAGGACCACCTCTCTCAACAATAGAAGCGCAAAGAGCGTATCTGTACGAAGGGCGCAACAATTTCAGCGGGCAGGGTGCAGTCACGAACAAAAGGCAGGCAGCAAGGAGAAAAGCAAGCAAGCAAACGACGACGGCGTGCATTTGAGACAGCAAAAAAATGACAGACGAGTGTATAACAAAAAACATTGTTTTGTGCTTTGGAAACGGAAAGAGCAACAACTCTATTGGTGATAAGACGGATGCACAGGGCTGCTCGGAGAACAATAAAGGCGGTGCAGTTGGTGGTGCAGTCGTTGCGAGGTGAGCGCTTGTACTCTCCCTCTCTCTTTCAATATATGTATATAGTATATATGCATTCCTTTTTATACCCTTTAACGAAAACTGGTAATGGTATATAGTTTTTAGTGGGTAATTATGAAACCGAATTTTAGAGCCTTCATTTTGAGGGTCCCAAACTATATGATACATGTGTTGCCCCAAATATATAGTCGACCACACATTCATTATTATGGCGCACCATTTCGCCTTAAAATGGACCTGAGTTGGATTCTGTGAAGATTGATCATTGATCATATGCATAAATTATTATTTAAACGCATCGTTCATTATTTAATTATTATGGTAATAGCTGCGTACATATTAGCTAATTTATGACGCTTTATTTGTTATTGCAGATATGTGCATACAGTTTCATAGCCTTAGCTTGTTTGTTCTGTTTTTTGTTCTTGTAATATAGCCTTTTGATAATAATTTTGTTTATATCATAGCCATCCACCACAAGCCAATAAATATGTGGCTCGTATGCCGGTAGATCGCTATGCCAGCGAATATAATATGAATCACAAGAACCGCGGGAAAGCTTTAATATTTAATCATGAGTTATTCGACATACCTTCCTTGAAGGCCCGCTCCGGCACTAATGTGGATTGCGAGGAACTACGCAAAGCGCTGAAGCGCCTGGACTTCGACGTTTCAGTGCACAAGGATTGCAAGTTTCGCGAGATTCTGGAGCACATAGAAAAAGCGGCATCGCACGATCACAATGATAACGATTGTATTGCTATCGCTATATTGTCGCATGGCGAACACGGCTATATCTATGCCAAGGATGTTCAATACAAACTGGACAATATTTGGCATTATTTTACAGCACACAATTGTCCGTCGCTGGCCGGTAAACCGAAAATGTTTTTCATTCAGGCTTGCCAAGGCGATCGACTGGATGCGGGCGTTATGCTAGAGAAAAATGTGACTGAAACGGACGGCGAGTCCTCAATGAGCTATAAGATACCTATACATGCAGACTTTCTCTTCTCATACTCCACCATACCAGGTAAAATATGCCAGTTTTTCTTTTACTTCCTAAAGTTATTAAAAATATTGTCTGTTCTTCAATATGCAGGTTATTATTCCTGGCGCAATACCTCTAACGGCTCATGGTACATGCAGTCGCTCATTCAAGAGTTGAACACAAATGGCAAGAAGTACGATATGCTGACGCTGCTCACCTTCGTTAGTCAGCGGGTTGCGGTGGATTTTGAATCAAATGTGCCGTCTACGCCAATAATGGATCGACAGAAGCAAATTCCATGCGTCACATCAATGCTTACTCGCATACTGCGCTTTACCGACAAAAATACCGGTAGTAAAGCTGGTTAATTTAATCATCTTTGTCGATTAGTGGTAAACCCCCCCTAAAATAAGAAAACGCCTGATTCTCATCGCGCACAGCAATTCTTTCGACATTCACATTGGATTCCATTTTACTTTAAGTATCCAGTTATAAATATTGATGTAGATTATCATCAACACCTAATTTTTCAGACTCATGTACTCGTACTTTATTGTTGACTTAATATGTTTTTGTCAAACAAAAATTCTTATTCCTATACTCATTTATATTTATGTTTTATATATTAATAATTTACTTGCCAATTGTATTCACGCTGAAGACTTATAATGAATATAACATATATATAAATATATATATTTGATATACAAAAAAACTCGAATAAAATGAAGAATTGAAGTAAAAATGGATCATACGCCTCATCCTCGGTTTAGCTCCTGCCCATATGGCAACATTGGTATATTATGGTTGGCTATGTACATATGGATGTGTGTATGGATATGTGTTTGTATGAGTGAATGTGTGCGTGCGTAGCTCGTACAGTTATCGCCACTGTTAAACAATTGCGCTTGAAATTTGGGAAATGCACATTAATGTCCATGCATGGGAAGTAGGGTGGGGCTGATGCTTTTCCAATTTCTTTTGGATACAATAAGGGCTTTGGCGCCAAAATGGGCTTAGCAAAGACGCCAACGCAGTCTATTTAGAAACAAACCCACCAGCCAACTGTGTTAGTAAAGTTCATTCTCGCAAGCAAGTCGGGACACATTTAGTGCGAATTAAAACCTATCAGCTTACCTCGATCGATGTTATGGCCATTATTTGCAACGGCAGTGTCGCCGTTGACTTAATACGTGCATTTTCAACAAAAATTGAGCCGAGTTTTCCCTGCACCAAGCAAAAGCGACAGATTTCCTTATGTCGAAGTTCGAATTCACGCGTTTCGTATATGGTAGACATGGCTAGTACTACTATTACGCCTTTTAAGCAAACTAAAGTGAATACACGGGGAATTGTTTTGATAACAACAAACTATTGAAAATTACCAAAAATGTTCACAACACACATAAATGCACAATGCATCAATACACGAACCGCTGTAATGCTGCCATCTCGTCCATAATTGAAGTCTCATTTATAAACTGCCACACTTTCAAAGAGTTGCCACCTAACGCTAGTGTATGGGCGCAGTTTCGGTAAAACAAAACCAAAAGCGTTAGTTTTCAATTTTATTTTATTCATCTGCGTCCCTCAAGCGGGCCTGGGTTTGCTCGCCTATATCGTAAATAACATGCTGCTGCAGTAGCTCATGCACGTCGTATTTAAGAGACTCCTCAAATGCATACTGTATGCTGGTATCGTAAAGCATCAGTTTGCACTTGGCAAGTGCAAGAATGCAGTTCCGGACGCGAGCAATTATTTCTCGCTCATGTCGAGGCACCACTTCACTAAGATTCTGTGCAAAGCCACCCTCCCCGCCCTCCTGATCTTCGTTTTTAGTAGGTGATATCCAAATGTAACCATTGTTGCCTAATATTACGGATGCACCACATGAGAGATTGTGAAAATGCATTTTTCGACGCTTAACCAGCGCAGGAAAGACCTTCACAAGGATGCCCTGGGAAAGTTTGCCATACTTCAAGCTGCGCGTGTATAGCGACAATGTGCCCTCCTCGAAAATATTCTGATGAATGAGAAGCTCAGCCAAATGACATATCAGGAACTAGAATAGTACCCACCTGAACTTCTGCAGAAATAAGATCGCCTTCGTCCAGATACTGCCGCATCATTTGCTCGTCTTCTGCTGAGCGTCGGCGCAGCTCACCGCCGGGAAGATTTACAGACGACAACAGCAGTACAGAATCCAAACGCGAATTTGTATCCACGCGCCATCGCTTTTGTTGCACTTCAATAACTCGAGCAACGACTACATCACCAATCTCACCCACATAGCGGCTCTTTAATGGACGAACTGAAATCAATTTGTTCACCTTCTCGATAACGCCAGCCACGGAAGCCTTTATATTTTCATCCTCCACAAATGTGCCATGTCCACGCATGAAACCTGCCTCTGGCATGAGTACTTCGCCAGGTGTAAAGACGCGAGGCAACTTTTCCTGGTTCCCGGCCAGAGCATTCCAGTCCACGCGATCCAGAGCCAAGCTTATCGTTGCATTTACAGACATTTTTCTGCGATTTTTAATAAACAAATGAAGCCAACAGCTGATGAAACACGCGCGATTCCAACCAGAACTAGTTCAAAAAAGAAAAGAAAATGAGCGAGCCCAACAGCTGTTCACTGTTATTAGTGTTTCTTCTGTGAAAATTACACTCAGCACCAGCATAAATGAAAAATTTATAAAGGAGGATAAATAATCAACTGAAAATGGATCAACCTGACGATCACTTTCGTTACATATATAGTTCCGATTTGGATGAGCGTGTGCAGATAAAAGTGTAAGTAATTCGCAAATAACCGAAAGGTTACATGTACACAAATATATACATACATATGTACATAAATTGTTCGTTTCAGTGGTACTCTTGAGGGCAAAAAACGCCAGCCTGATTACGAAAAGCTGCTCGATGACCCCATACTTCGCTTTTCCGGCCTATACTCGGAGGAATACCCTGCATTTCAGGTTCGTCTGCAAATATACAATAAAGGCCGCCCTTATTGTTCGCCCGTGAGCAGCTCTTATAAGGCGTTTGGCAAGCGATGGAGCTGGAACGAGTGGGTGACATTGCCTTTGCTCTTCTCCGACTTGCCACGAACTGCCGTGCTGGTGCTCACCATTCTGGACTGCTCGGGGGCTGGTCAAACAACTATCATTGGAGGCACAGCAATTTCATTGTTTGGCAAGGATGGCATGTTCCGCCAGGGAATGTATGATTTGCGGGTCTGGCTTGGTGTTGAAGGAGATGGAAGTTTTCCCACCAAAACACCGGGCAAGGGAAAGGAATCATCCAAGTCGCAAATGCAACGCTTGGGAAAATTAGCCAAGAAACATCGCAATGGACAGGTCCAAAAAGTGGACTGGCTAGATCGTCTCACATTCCGCGAAATCGAAGTGATAAACGAGCGGGAAAAACGCATGTCCGACTACATGTTCCTTATGATTGAATTCCCCACCGTCACGCTGGATGATGTGCATAATGTGAGCTAAAAAAGAAAACCTATATGTACATGTATAAATTCTAATTCGGTGTTTTTTTCAGTACTCGGTGGTCTACTTCGAACCAGAAAGCTGTAAATCCGACAGGCTTGTGCCAAAACCAAGACTCGTCTCTGTTCCAGATTCAGAGATTTTAGTGGTGAGTAAATAATATTTTAAAATCAGTGAACCTGCCATTTTAACATCTCTCTTCTAGGAAAACCTCGTGGAACGCAAACATCATTGCTTGGCGCGTTCGGAACGGTCACGCATTTCCGATCGAGATGCCAAGCCGACTGCTAGGTTAGAAGCCGTGCCGTAGAAAAGTACAATCTGAATTGCTAATACTTTCCTTTAATTTGCAGCATACGCGATCAATTACACACAATTGTTTATAGATATCCACCCACCTGTACGCTGAGCAGCGAAGAGCAAGACTTAATTTGGAAATTCCGTTTTTACTTATCTACACACAAGAAGGCGCTAACAAAGTTCCTAAAGTGCATTAACTGGAAGTTAAAGGATGAGGTAATGCAAGCACTCTGGATGCTTTCCAACTGGGCCCCTATGGATGTGGAGGATGCGCTTGAACTCTTGAGTCCAGCATTTACACACCCGGAGGTGCGCAAGTACGCTATCAGTCGCTTGGCCCAAGCGCCTGACGAGGACCTGCTTCTCTATTTACTTCAACTAGTGCAGGCCTTGAAATATGAGAATCTCCACGAGATTGCTCAATTATACAAGTGCATTTTTCCCGATCGTGATGTTTCAATGCTTGACGAGACCGGATCAATGTTGGAGCGAAGTTCCATTTCGGATTTGAGTGGCACGACCAGTGGCCTGCATGCCTCTGTTATACCAGCTAATCAGCGAGCAGCAAGTATGTTGGCGGCCATCAAAGGCGAGAAGTCAAGCACGGGACCTTTTAAGGCTAGCATTTCAGTTTCCCGAGCCGATCAGGGTGATGGTAATGGAGCAACATCTGTTGCAGATGGGAATCCATCAATGGGATCAGCCGGTTCGGATAACTCCAATACACTTATGCTTGCTGATGGTGTTAGTGCCTCGCCCATAACCCTCTGCACATTCCTGATACAGCGCGCATGCAGAAACGCCACTTTAGCCAACTATTTCTACTGGTACTTGTCTATTGAGGTGGAAAATGTGGAATCGGTCCGGAAACAGGATGAGCGAGCCCATGATATGTATGATATGGTATTAAAAATGCTGCTAAAAGCGCTCGAGAATGGTGCGTATAAACAAATAACTAAATGGTGTTAATCTTCATTTTTATTTTTAAAAATCTTGTAGGAAACTTTCAACAACGTGGTATTTATCACAATCTAAAGAAACAGAAAGTTTTCATCGAGGAACTCGTGAAGCTAGTAAAGCAAGTAGCCAAGGAAACAGGAAATCGCAACAAAAAAACCGAAAAGTTTCAAAATCTTTTAGCCGAACAGAATATGTTTAAAGTGAATTTTACGAGTTTTGGGCCAATACCATTCCCGCTAGATCCAGAAATTTGGATAACCAAAATAGTGCCAACGCGCACTACACTTTTTAAAAGCGCCCTTATGCCGGCTAAGTAAGCTAGACAGGAAATGTGGTAACTACTCTACAATTATAATTTGTTTATTGCAGGCTTACCTTTGTTACGTCGATTGCCCAATATGAATATGTAGCTATTTTCAAGCATGGTGATGATCTGCGTCAGGACCAGCTTATATTACAAATGATCACCCTCATGGACAAGTTGCTTCGTCGGGAGAACCTTGACTTAAAATTGACCCCATACAAGGTGCTGGCCACTAGCTCCAAACACGGCTTACTTCAGTATGTAGAGTCTTGCACCGTGGCCGAAGTATTGGCTCGGGAGGGCAACATACATAACTTCTTTAGACGTCACAATCCTTGTGAAAATGGACCTTATGGAATATCAGCCGAAGTTATGGACACATATATAAAAAGCTGTGCCGGATATTGTGTTATTACCTATTTACTGGGTAAGTGTATTACTATTTCGCTATTGGTTTGGGGCACTATTTCCATATTTTACAGGCGTTGGAGATCGCCATTTGGATAATTTACTGCTGACTACCAATGGCAAGCTATTCCACATTGATTTCGGATATATTTTGGGTCGCGATCCCAAACCGTTGCCGCCTCCCATGAAACTAAGCAAGGAAATGGTCGAGGCCATGGGAGGCGTCAGCTCTGAGCATCATCATGAGTTCCGCAAGCAATGTTACACAGCATTTTTGCATCTGCGGCGACATGCCAATGTCATGCTTAATCTTTTCTCATTGATGGTGGATGCAACCGTTCCGGATATTGCGCTTGAGCCCGACAAAGCTGTGAAGAAAGTCGAGGAAAATTTGCAATTGGGTCTGACCGACGAGGAGGCAGTGCAGCATCTACAGAGCCTGCTGGACATATCTATAACAGCAGTAATGCCAGCGCTTGTGGAGCATATACATAAATTGGCTCAATACTGGCGGAAGTAGATGATCTTTTATTTTACTTAGCACTAAGATATTTTAGCCCATATCCATAGGATAAATGTAAATTAACTCTTTGTATAAACACACAATTAAATACTTTTTAAAATTATGTTAAATCCAAACATACCAAGTATTGACACTCTTGTTGGATATATCTAAAAATACAATTGTTAATAAGAAACAATATTAATTAGCTCTACCGCATCTTATTCCGAGTTAAAATATACACTTTGATAAATGTTTATGAGTGGATAACGGAATTTATCAGGTATTGCGAACATTTTGATTTTCTTGCTAGGAGACTTATACTTGTTTGTCAATAATTTAATCAAATACTACAAAATGCACTATTCCACTTCCAAAAAGCCCATTTGGCTGCTCTTCAAAGTAGTGGAGCTTATAATGAGCATCGCATGCTCCTACACGCACATCCAATGCTTTGATCGAGAAAGTTTTCCACATATTTTTCTATTATGCGGCACTTTCGGCGGCTCCACAATCGCATGCTCGTTAGCCATTGTGGGCCTGATACTGGCAGAACGGCCCACACTTCGCCTGGAGGCGATGATAAGTGGACTGTATGGTGTGCTGCATTTAATCACCGTCTACGTGAGCATGTACGTGGCGGAGAAGGATAAACATTTATGTTTCCTACTTAGCCTAGAGGAGAAACAGCATCAGTATTTTGTGTGCTGTCGCCGAACTGCAATACTGGCTCTCTACACAGCTGCGATTTATATTATGCACTGTACACTGGCCGTAGATCTAAAACTTTCCCATGTGATGGTGACTGTGGTCGACGGCAATGTTGTTCACTTGCAGCTCCGTAAACATAAACAGCGCAGCAAACGACCGCTGAAATTGTACTTTATTAGCATGGGTGCGGATCATTATTTAAATAAGTTTGCCTGCTATCGATCCATCTCCTCTAATATAATTGAAGATAAACAAAGGCGCGGATCAAAAGTATCCGGAACTCTCACTGTTTATATGAGCGAGTCGAGTGAGCCGGAGGAAGACTGATTTGAATCTACATCGACAACGCGCGCAACTAAATACTGAACAGCTGATTTGTACCAGCTCTACGGCAACCCTGTCTAAGCCATCGAGCGGGCATTTTGACAGTTGTTTGTTTACGGCCTGCCTTGCGGTATTTGTAATTGCAATTGTGCGTTCGTTGTGTTTGTGAATTTTTTTTCCTTCGTGACTTCCTGAAAACTTAAATTATATGGCTAGCATTGCGGTAAGAGAGTACTTCTAACATTTTACAATTTTCGTATTGGCAGCGCCCGTTGCTTTATTTTGTTTGGCCAGTTTTGTCGGGTTGTAGTTGTTGTTTCCATTTTGACTTCGAATGCATTGCTTTGCTGTAAAACGCTGTCTGCAAAGTTTTCTGATTTTCATAGTTCGATGCGTGGTTTTGTTGGGAACTTTTGGCACAAGCCAAGCCGTCCGTTTATGTTGCGTGCATGTTTGTGTGCGTCTATGTGCTTACGTTTTGTTTAGTTAGTGGCGTATCAAAAGTTTGGACCAAAAGTTAGCAGGGGCTACTAAAGTTTCATACTACAACAACTACACACAATAGACGTAGCAATCACATCATCGCACAAGGCGCGCAGGGTGGCGGCTGCAACTTGACAGACCCAGACCGCAAAATTTGTTTTGCCCAACGGCTAATGCTATGTACGTGTGTACTATACATACATATGTACATACATATGCATAAAGTGGACGCCAACTAAGTCCAAGCCAACTATTTTGGACATTGCAAACTTGCCAAAATCTTCCCCTCATACTAATTTGCCATTCATTTCGTAATAGCGCAACTCTTAAAAATCCTGTACTCAAATTTCAAAAAATTAATTTTAATGTTTTCTTTTTAATTATAAAGTTTTAATTGACAAATCGAAACATTACATTACATTACATGCGACATCATGCATTAATAGGATGTAATTAGCAAATTTGGTGAAATATGTATGGAAATCCAAAAAATGTTAAAGAGAATACTAACAGGTGAGGGAGTAGTGCATGAAAACCACATAAACTTAAATACCAACATTCTGATCAAGAATATAGATATGTATGTACATATGTGTATTTGCTTATTGGGGTCTGCTGCGTTTCATTCTGTACATTACATCCAGTGGCACTAAACTAGCATACTCTTTTACCCTTCGGATGCAGGGTATCAGTACTCTTATCAGCAAACGTGCTCGCTCTCTTGAGTACTAAAGAGCAAGAGCAATGGCAGCGGACGCAAAACTAATAATAACAACAGTAACAGCAAACGCACATGAGTCACCCACATAAGCTGCAGACAGACGGAGACGTCGACTCAGCTGCGCTCAACTTCCAACTGCTTTTGTTATTGTTGCGCTTGCCTTTGTGGCTCTGGAGCTGGCTATGCAAGAATATTGTAGGGGCCGTGGCTCCCCTTCTGCCAAACACACACACACACATGCACAAAAACTCAGCCGGCTAAGTAAATCGAGCGCCAACCCACAAGCAGCCACTCGCACACTCCTGAAAGCAAGCAGCACGTGTTCATTTTCGTGCAAAGTCATTTGGAATGCAATGTTATGTACTTTTTTTTGGCACCGTGGTATGAGTGTCGGCGGAGAATGTGTTTATGTGTATTTGTGTGTGTATGTTGGCAAAGCTTGTGCATCTGAAAGATACGTTTTCTAAATCACAGCATGTTAGGTTAGTCCATCGTAATATTTCGTTACGTGCAGTTTGCAAGTGGGTGTTCTGTTTGTTCTATTGCCACTCTTTTCTGTTTCTACGGAGTAGGATAATCACATGTACATAAACACATCTACTTGGGTACATATGTACACCTATTTATTGTGATTCTTCAGATGAGTGTTCGTGACTGTCTTCTTGGGACAGAGCCTGATAAGAGCGCTAACTGGTTGTATTTAAAAGTTATAAGTATGTACATACGATCCATGCTCATATCATAATCGTAACCATAGCTTAGAACTCTAGTAACATATGTACATGCATACATACATATTTATGCATAGAACACATAAATATTTTAATTCGCACTAGTTTTCCCTGCTTTGTTGATATTTCTTTAAATTTATAAAAAGTAATGTGATAGAAATTGATGCCAAATATTGATGTCTGAAAATCGAATATAGCTTTGTTTATAATTAAAATAGTTCATACATACATCTTTGTGTTATTGATTGGTTGGTGGCATTAAGTGACTAACTTTAAGAAAATCTTGACAAAAATCTTAAATTATGAAATTAAAAAATAATACATTACAAATACTTGTAATACATACAAAAGGGAACGACCTCCAAACAAATTGGCTTGAAAAAAAATTTTAACCCAAATTATAGGCCATTTCGAGTTCAAATGTAAATATTTATATGTGTATGTATATACATACTTATGTACTTATGTACTGCCAAAAAAAATTACACTTTTTGGGGTCTGAAATGCATACAAATTTATAAAAGGTGTGCATTTTGGCGGAGCCTCCTTATTTTTGTTTTAATCTAAAATTACGTTAAGCTCCTTCAGATGTTAGATTTAACAAAAACAAGCAATGAAAGTGAAATCCCTATTAAAACCTTTTCGTATAACATTGGGTTTCTTTTTAAAATTGACAAATTGTTTTGCGAATTATTATTATTTATTCCTTTATTCAAAGGAAATTATGTATGTATTCCCGTGTACTCTTATTTTGTAGAAAATATTCGCTGTCACAATTAGGCTTTAATGAAAGCATTAATATATCGTAATATATTGAAATCTAAAAAACGAAAAAGTTAATCTAGAAAGCATGCTAATTACGTATCCGGAGGCAATGTCTGTTGGTTCTAACCTTGAACTAGTTTACATACTCTCTGTATGTATGTATGTATGTACATATGTATATGTGGGTTAAAACGTTCAAATGATAATTTAGTAATACATAGGTTCTGATACCTGCACCATTTGTAACTTCAGCTCTATGAAGCAACCAAATTAGTTTCCGTACATATGTATGTGCATATGTATGTAAATACATTCATACATATGTATACATTTGTATATGTATTTATGTATGTGCTGTGATACAGTAGCGATTCCACACCATTGACATACACAAGAAATGAATCGGTTTCAAAATGACGCTGAAAACTAAACTCCCAAACGAAGGTTTCCCATATACATGCATACATACATACATATATGTACATACATATAACTAGAGTCGCTGAACGTTGGGTACGTGCCGCTTATGCAGCTCCCCTAGATCGCGGCAATCAGTTTACGCTGACGTCGTCTTGTCGGGTTTTTTAAATGCGCTTGCATATCCAAATGTACGAGTATAGTTACATTCATACATACAACTAATTCTATACAAGCCCAATCCATGTAAATCGAATGGTGTGGCTTTATTTTTCGTGAACTCGTACTAACACGGGTGCTACTATTTCAGTTGGTTACTAAATGTTACTGTCAAAGCCCCCAACCGGCTGACAGACTGACTGAATGACTGACTGGCCGGCCGGCCGGCCGGCCCTCCCTGCGACCAACCATATGACGCGCCACATTAACCGGAGTGTGCCAGCTAACACACACACTCACACACACACACATATACAACAGTACAGTGTACAGTTTTGCATATGTGCCCCCCTGCCCCCCTCTCGACCGCCCCCAACTGCTGCCATTGTGTATGTGCGCTTGTTTGTTTGCATGGCTCTGTCGTCCACAACGTGATAAAAACTTTAAACATTGAATTGTGATACTTCGTCACTTGGTTGTAAATTGAAATAAGACCCACATGTTGCTGCTCTAGCGTCGCGATCGCCGCTGTAGTCGTTGTCATCGCCACCAACCATCGTCCAGTTGGTCGTCGTTGTTACTCCATCTGTGCCCATGCCCTGGGCCGGGGGCTTATTGCAACAACAGTTAGGCGAAACGAAAAACTAAAGCACAAAGCACACAAACGAAAGCAGCGCACTGCAAAATAAAATACAATTCTATTGCAATTGTCAGCAAATTTTCTTTAAATGTAACAAAAAAAACAAAAAACCAACAACAATAACGAAAGCCAAGCCGCGACTTTGTTTATGCAATTTGTTTAGTTAAGCATCGGTTTGTTCATTCGTTTTATGATTTAGAAACGTTATTTATTATTTATTAAGTGCTCGGCTGATGACGTTATGCCACCGTATTTGCCAGTCCGCTACTCTTTTCGATTTCAGTGCGGGTTCTGCAGCCTGCGGTTACGTTGTCCTAGTGCTCGTCGTCTCATTCAGTGTTTTCATTTCCATTTTTATTTTCAATGTGAGCATTTTATAGTATTTGTTTTACTGTGCATTCACCGTGTTATCTGCGAGTTTCTATATATTTAGTTTGACTCACTCCGGTGCGGCAGTAAAAAACAGAAAACGTAAGCTAATACATACGTGTATATACTATAAGTACATATGTACATACTATATGTATGTACGAGTATGTCTGTACGTATAACGCTCTTTTTGTTATGCATTAAGAGAGGTTTGTGGCATTCGGCGACGTGTTTGAAATTTTTAATATCAATAAATCGTAAATCACGAATTTAATTTTAAACGAAATACCAAACACATTTAATCGAACCAAAAGCGTTTGCAAACACATCTGTGGAAAAGGAATTGCACAAAATTACCGTGGAACAGTTTATGTGCAAATTATCTGCAATATTTGTGTAAATGGTGAGTTTTTATGTTCATAGAATCAAAGTTAAAAGTGGTTTTTTTATCATGAACCCAAGAACGTACAAAGGTAGTGCGAATGTGTGCGGGAAACTGAAGAAACTGAACTGAACTGAATGGCTGACCCCATAAAGTATATATTGTAGATTAGTATGATAAGGAGAATCGATATATTTATCTAAGCTCAATACTTCTGAGTCCTAGAAAGCAGAAGTTTCCTTTACTCAGTTACATCCTGTTAGTGCTTAAATAATTACTGCACCTTAAAACTATCTTAGTACGTTGAGGTTCAAACTAAAGTACCATTATTGTAGCATTTTATATAAATAAATCGAAAGCAAGGTATAATTTTTTGGAGTGAGCTTTGAAAAAGATCAGCGATCTCCTACCACATTATATGTATAGATATAAATACGCTACGCATATAAAGGGTGAACTAGAAAATTAAAGATATATTAATTTATTTAGTACCATAGTCTATAATATTTAAAAGTAAATATCCTATCATCTTGTAATAGATCATAAGTTTAAACAT